ATGCTGGCAGCTGCCACACGCTGCGTCACTGTCTGCCCAGACAACTACAAATCAGGCATCTTTCTCCTTTTCTCAACCCTCTTCTAGAACCCAGGTGTCCTCTGGCCTCAGGCCTTCTTCAAGGAGCTGAGTCCCTCTGGCACCTGGCATGCCTCCTTTCTGGGGCCCAAGCTGCAATCCTTCCCTTAGCAAACAGGGTCTCCGGTGGAAGGTTCAGAGAGACCTTCAGGCCCGTAAGGGCCAGACAGTTCAGTGACGTCGGTGTCAGGGTTGGACTACTGACCAGGATAGCTCTCCAGCAATGTGGACGCCCAAAGCAGCAAATGGTGACCCGCGGCCCCGCTGTCTGATTCTGGATGGAGTTAAGGGTAAAAGGCCAGTAACCAGCCGGGGTGCCTTTCCAGTCAGCCAGTATGTCGTCCTCCTCCAGTAAGAGTCTGAGCCAAGGCCATGGGTGATGAGAGGGTTGGGACTGACACTTGGGCACAGAATGGTTTGGGAGCAGGCCTGGTGTCCTGTTAGCAGGGCTAACATAAATATAGGGTGTGGTAGATGCCATAAAGTTGGGTTTAATTAAGGCATTCTTTTGTTCTGTATAGCACTACCTGCTAACAACTCTTTTTTTTTTTTTTTTTTGAGACAGAGTCTCACTTTGTTGTCCAGGCTAGGGTGAGTGCCGTGGCGTCAGCCTAGCTCAGCAACCTCAAACTCCTGGGCTCAAGCGATCCTGCTGCCTCAGCCTCCCCAGTAGCTGGGACTACAGGCATGAGCCACCATGCCCAGCTAATTTTTTCTATATGTTTTTAGTTGGCCAATTAATTTCTTTCTATTTTTAGTAGAGACGGGGGTCTCACTCAGGCTGGATTCGAACTCCTGACCTTGAGCAATCCACCCGCCTTGGCCTCCCAGATTGCTTGGATTACAGGCGTGAGCCACCATGCCCGGCCTGCTAACAACTCTTGTTGAATTATTTAATTTTAATTTTCCTGTATTTGTGTCCCAAGTTAGGACTAAAAGCTTATACTTCTTTCTATCATCAATAGAGTATATAATGGGTGCTTAAAACTTGCTTATTAACCGATGAATTTCTCCTCATTTTGTCATCATGCAAATAAACCTAGCATAACTGAGGCTGGCTTTTATCTAAACCCAGAAATGACCATTTCAGGGAGCAATGCAAGCTCGCCTCCCTTCCTCGACCCTGCTGAGACTGCAGTCCTGTGCTTTGGCCCCTCCTGCTCAGGAGCTTCTGTAAGGTCACGGTCAGAGCCAGAAACACCAGCCAGGACTTTCTCCCAACAGTAGTTCAATAACTATGATGTCTTGTTTATAAATATCTTATACTTATTATAAAAGACAATATTTTCATTTTTAGAAAGGAAATTATGTCATCGCGTCCACTCTCCTTGTCCCCTTGCTCAATCAGTAATAGGTGAAAAGGCTACAAGAGTGGAGAGAAACATAGAAGGCATACACAGATGAAATGCCCACAAGGAAGAAATTCGGAATCTGGCTAAATGCTTAAGAAGAGGATGGGGCAGGAGAGAAGGAGGTGCCTCCTACAAGATAAAACCTGCCGGCTTTTGATGGAAGAGACAGGAGAATAAATGCTGAGTGGGGACTGCATCTGGGAAGGGCTAGGGTGGGGATCAGTGGATGGGATCACAGGCAAACAAAAAACCCTCCCTGGTGTGCCCACCCACACCCCAGCCAGCGAAACCAATAGGGTGCCCACTGTGGACATTTAGAAAAACTGAGGGATTCAGGGAAAAACTGAGGAAGAGGAAGGCACCATGTGGATGAGAGATATTTATGATCTTTCTGAAGTTTCCTTTCTCCAGGGAATGGAGAGAGTAGAGACGGAAATAAATTCTCTTTTTCTTCTAGATCATTTTTTCATTAAAAGAAAAAAGGCTGGTCATGGTGGCTCACCCGTGTAATCCTAGCACTCTGAGAGGCTGAGGCAGGAGGATTGCTTGAGCTCAGGAGTTCGAGACCAGCCTGAGCAAAAGGGAGACCCCGTCTCTACTAAAAATAGAGAAAAATTAGCTGGGCAACTAAAAACAGAAAAATTAGTCAGGCATGGTGATGCAGGCCTGTAGTCCAGCTATTTGGTAGGCTGAGGCAGGAGGATCGCTTAAGCCCAGGAGTTGGGGTTGCTGTAGGCTGGGCTGACCCACGGCACTGTAGCTCAGGCAACAGAGTGAGACTGTGCCCCCCTAAAAGAAAAAAAGAAGGGCAAGGATTCTGGGAAGTTAGACTCCAGCCTGTTTACCCATAAACTCTTAAGTAATAGTGAGATGAAATAATATAGACTGGTCCTGAAACCCAGAGGCTCTGTCCTCAGGCTCCCCACTGCCCATAAGGCAATAAAAAAAAAAATAAAATAAAAATTAAGCAACATGGATTGATATGCATCAATCTCTAAGATATACTGTTAAGTAAGTGGAAAAAATCAGTAATTCGTTCAGCAAGCAGTTATTGAGCACCTACTGAATACAAAGCACTGTTCTAGGGACTGGAGATACAGCAGGAAAAACACCTGGCTAAAATACCTTCCCTCGAGCAGCTTATATTCTAGTGAGAAGAGACAGGCAACAAGGATGAGAAATAAATCACCACCTGGCCAAAAAAGAAAGTTTGCAACGTGTACTTCAAAATTCATATCATTCATATACAAAAAGCTCCTAGAAAGTAATAAGCAAAAGACAAAGAAGAAAAGGGGGATTTGTACAGAAATACTAAATGGAAAATAAATATGTGAAAAGATGATGACGCTCATTTAATCTTTAAAAAGAAGCAAATGGGCCAGGCGTAGTGGCTCACGCCTATAATCCTAGCACTCTGGGAGGCCAAGGCGGGCGGATTGCTTGAGATCAGGAGTTCGAAACCAGCCTAAGCAAGAGCGAGACCCCGTCTCTACTATAAATAGAAAGAAATTAATTGACCAACTAATATACATAGAAAAAAAATTAGCCGGGCATGGGGCACATGCCTGTAGTCCAGCTACTTGGGAGGCTGAGGCAGCAGGATTGCTTGAGCCCGGAGATTGAGGTGCTGTGAGCTAGGCTGACGCCACGGCACTCACTCTAGCCTGGGCAACAAAGCGAGACTCTGTCTCAAAAAAAAATAAATAAATAAATAAAAAGAAGCAAATGAAAATGAAATATAATGCTTAATCATAAAAACAGCAAGAATTAAAAATACCAGTGATGTCTGGTATGTGTGTAGATGGAGGAATATTTGGGAAATAAGGCCTTCTTGTAAATGATTTGTAGCCACAAGTATAAACTGATTACAGAATATCAAAACATAATTTGGAGGCTGGGCACAGTGGTTCACGCCTGTAAGTAATCCTAGCACTTTGGGAGGCCAAGGCAGGAAGGAGGATTGTTTGAGGCCAGTAGTTCAAGACCAGCTTGAGCAACATAGTGAGACCTTGTTTCTACAAAAAATAGAAAAATTAGCTAGACATGGTGGCACAAGGCTATAGTCCTAGCTACTCATGAGGCTGCGGCAGGAGGATCACTTGAACCCCAGAATTTGAGGTTGCTGTGAGCTGTGATGATGCCACTGTACTCTAGCCCAGACAACAGAGCAAGACCCTGTCTCAAAATATATATATATATATATATATATATATATACACAATTTGGAAAGTAACCCTTCAACTTATAAGCATGCATGCCTTTGACCTAGCACACTCATATCTAAGAATTTGGCCTATACAAATACTTGACAAATATAAGTCTTTATGAGGTTGTTTCCTTATTTGTGACTTCACTGCTTTAGAGTCCTGGCTAGAGTACTAGCTGTGTGATACTGTGCCTTAGTTTCTTCATCTGAAAAATAGGGATAAAAATCTTACCTATTGGAAAAATTGCAAGTGGGGAAAATAAAATTTAAAAAAAGAGAAAAAAATCTTACCTAGCACAAAAGTGGCCTGGGTAAATTAAATGAGTTAATTCCATTATAATTTATTATAATGGTCTCTGGAACACAGTAAGCACTCAGTAAGTAGTAGCTGGGATTATTATTATTACTATTGTATATAAAAGAAAAAAAACTAGAAAAAATTTTGAAAAGCCCATCAAAGTGCTGGTATCCTACAGACATTAAATAGATATTAATAATAAGACAATACTATTAATATGAACAATTTCATGCCAAGAAATTTGCAGTATAGATCAGGGGACAGCAACCTTTGGCTTGCAGGCCAAATTTAGCCTGCTGTGTACTTTTCACTGGCCCACGAGCTAAGAATGGTTTTTACATTTTCAACAGTTGGCAAAAAAGTCAAAAGAAAAGGATATTTTGTGAAATCCCACTTTCAGCATCCATAAAGTGTTATTGGATCACAGCCATGCTCATTGGTTTACATAATGTCTACAGCTGCTTTCAACATAAAACAGCAGATTTGAGTAGTTGCAACAGAGACCATATGGCCTGCAAAGCCTAAAATACTTCTCTCTGGCCCTCTACAGAAAAAGTTTGCTGACCTCTGATTAAGATGAACTGGACAATTTACCAAACCCGACATAAAAAGAAATAGAAAATCTGAATGGTACTATATCTTTTAAATAGATTGAATTCATAATTTAAAACTTTCCCATAAAGAAAACCACATACCATGGTAGCTTCACTGGGGAATTCTTCCAGATATTTAAGAGGGAAATAATCCCAATCTTACTCAAACTCTCCCACAGAGTATTTCCCAACTTGTTATATGAGGCCAGCATAACATCATGGCAAAATGTAACAAGAAACTAAAATTATGGCCAATATGTCTCATGAATATGGTAGTATAAATCCTAAACAGTCCTATTAACAAAAGACTGGCTAGATGATGATGATGATGATAGGAGTGGGTGGGGACAAAAAATAGATAAAACAACATTGGCCACCAGTTGATAATATTTGCAGGTGGGTAAGTACAAAAGAGTTTTCACTAAAATCTCTACTTTTGTACATGTTCAGAATTAAAACTTTCCATTGCATTTCTTCTTAGCCACGCCGGAGCTGTGTGTCTAGTCTGTTTCGCCGACAGTACCCTTTAAGAGATGATGATGTTGGGCACCGAAGGCGGAGAGGGATTCGTGGTGAAGGTCCGGGGCTTGCCCTGGTCTTGCTCGGCGGATGAAGTGCAGCGGCTTTTTTCTGACTGCAAAATTCACAATGGGTCTCAAGGTATTCGTTTCATATACACAAGAGAAGGCAGACCAAGTGGCGAGGCTTCTGTTGAACTTGAATCAGAAGATGAAGTCAAATTGGCCCTGAAAAAAGACAGAGAAACTATGGGACACAGATATGTTGAAGTATTCAAGTCAAACAACGTTGAAATGGATTGGATGTTGAAGCATACTGGTCCAAATAGTCCTAATAGACATGGCCAATGATGGCTTTGTATGGCTTAGAGGACTCCCCTTTGGATGTACCAAGGAAGAAATTGTTCAGTTCTTCTCAGGGTTGGAAATTATGCCAAATGGGATAACACTGCCGGTGGACTTCCAGGGGAGGAGTACGGGGGAGGCCTTCATGCAGTTTGCTTCACAGGAAATAGCTGAAAAGGCTCTAAAGAAACACAAGGAAAGAATTGGGCACAGGTATATCGAAATCTTTAAGAGCAGTCGGGCCGAAGTTAGAACTCATTATGATCCACCACGAAAGCTTATGGCCATGCAGCGGCCAGGTCCCTATGACAGACCTGGGGCTGGCAGAGGGTATAACAGCATTGGCAGAGGAGCTGGCTTTGAGAGGATGAGGTGTGGTGCTTATGGTGGAGGCTATGGAGGCTATGATGATTATAATGGCTATAATGATGGCTATGGATTTGGGTCAGATAGATTTGGAAGAGACCTCAATTATTGTTTTTCAGGAAAGTCTGATCACAGATACGGGGATGGTGGCTTTCCAGAGCACAACGGGGCACTGTGTACACATGTGGATTACCTTACAGAGCTACTGACAATGACATTTATAATTTTTTCTCACCACTCAACCCTGTGCGAGTACACATTGAAATTGGCCCTGATGGCAGAGTAACTGGTGAAGCAGATGTTGAGTTTGCAACTCATGAAGACGCTGTGGCAGCTATGTCAAAAGACAAAGCAAATATGCAACACAGATATGTAGAACTCTTCTTGAATTCTACAGCAGGAGCAAGCGGTGAACACAGATATGTAGAACTCATCTTGAATTCTACAGCAGGAGCAAGCGGTGGTGCTTATGGTAGCCAAATGATGGGAGGCATGGGCTTGTCAAACCAGTCCAGTTATGGTGGCCCAGCCAGCCAGCAGCTGAGTGGTGGTTATGGAGGTGGCTATGGTGGCCAGAGCAGCATGAGTGGATATGACCAAGTTTTACAGGAAAACTCCAGTGATTTTCAATCAAACATTCCATAGGTAGCCAAGGAGCAATGAACAGCAGCTACTACAGTAGTGGAAGCCGAGCATCTATGGGCGTAAATGGAATGGGAGGGATGTCTAGCATGTCCAGTATGAGTGGTGGATGGGGAATGTAATTGATCCTGATCACTGACTCTTGGTCAACTTTTTTTAAGAAAAGCAAAACCAGTTTAACAGTTTTTTGCAATACAAGCTTGTGATTTATGTTTACTCTATAAGTGGAAATCAGGATTGTTTTAAAGATTTAAGGTTGGGTATTTTTGAACACTCATCTAGGATGTAACAGCAAAGTTGAGTAAAGTGTAACTGTTAAACAAGTTCCAGCTTTTCTCAAGTTAGTTATATATCGTAGGATGTACTTAAGCAGTAAGTGTATTTAGGTTAAAGCAGTTGAATTACGTTAAATGTTGCTATTATACCACATGATATTGAACATTGTTTGGATGCATGTTGAAAAACATGCTTTTTTGTAAAACTCAATATAGGAGCTGTGTCTACAATTAAAGTGAAACATTTTGGCAAAAAAAACCAACTTTCCATCACAAAATATATACAAACTACATTTATTGGGTATATTTTATCTTAGCTAAGAAAGTTGCAGAACAGAAGATAGTGTGTGTATTTTATGTGTGTGGTAAAAAATACATGTCAATAGTAAGATCACTTAAACACATTTACACACATGAATCTACACACATAGATGAAGATATAGATATAGATATATAATCTGGAAGGATCATCCCCAAACCAGATAATCCTAGTTATATCAGGGAAGGGGGCAGAAGCTAGATTACAGAAATATTTCACTTTCTAATGTTGTCTTTGCTATATATATATATATATATCAGAGTCTCGTTTTGTTGCCCAGACTAGAGTGAGTGCTGTGGCGTCAGCCTGGCTCACAGCAACCTCAAACTCCTGGGCTCAAGTGATCCTCCTGCCTCAGCCTCCTGAGTAGCTGGGACTACAGGCATGTGCCACCATGCCCGGCTAATTTTTTTTTCTATATATATATATTAGTTGGCCAATTAATTTCTTTCTATTTATAGTAGAGACGGGGTCTTGCTCTTGCTCAGGCTGGTTTCAAACTCCTGACCTCGAGCAATCCACCCACCTTGGCCCCCCAGAGTGCTAGGATTACAGGCGTGAGCCACCGAGCCCGGCCTACTTTGCTATATTGTTTACATTCTTTACACCATATATAGATTAACTTGGCAGGGAGGAAAAAATAGACTAAAAATGGAATAGCAGGGGAGAAGGATCTGACTTCGAATTGAGTCATGACCCCAAAAACTCTAAGATGACAGCAAAACAGCCATAAAAACCAGGAAACCATCCCATTCTCTAAGCCTCTGCCAGCGAGTTTTAGCTAAAAACAGCCTGTTTAGAACAACTATTGGTGAAACTACTGGCCTTGGCCAGGCGTAGTGGCTCACACCTGTAATCCTAGCACTCTGGGAGGCCGAGGCAGGAGGATCGCTTGAGGTTAGGAGTTTGAGACCAGCCTGAGCAAGAGCGAGACCCCATCTCTACTAAAAATAGAAAGAAATTAGCCAGACAACTAAAAATATATAGAAAAAAATTAGCCGGGCATGGTGGCACATGCCTGTAGTCCCAGCTACTCAGGAGGCTGAGGCAAAAGGATTTCTTGAGCCCAGGAGTTCGAGGTTGCTATGAGCTAGGCTGATGCCGTGGCTCTCTAGCCCAGGCAATAAAGTCTGTCTCAAAAAAGAAAAAAGAAAAAAAAAAAGAAAGAAAGAAATGAAAAAGAAACTACTGACCTTTAGGAAAACTCATAATAAAATTTCTTAGGCTAAAGCCCCAGAAATCTTGACTTGCTAAGAAGCTGGACTGATTTCTCTTTATGGAAAATGCAAATCATTTAACTTATCATATTGCCCAGTTCACTGTGGCTGCCAGGAAACTCATAGTCAAAATGTTTATCTCTGTTTATGTGAAGTAAGGCCAGATACAGATACGTTTATCTTCATAGCAATTTTGCCTGTGTGTTGATCTTCTATTCTCTCTACATTCCTCTAATTCTTATTTTCAACTAATTGCCCTTTCCCATTTTGTTGTGGGAAAATCAAGTGGGAAACAAACAACTTACCTGAGCGTCATTTTCTATTTCTCTTTTGAAAGCAACTGGGGACAAGTTGGGGTGCAGAAGAGTCTTCCGGAGATCAAGCTAGGTTAACCATTCTTCAATGGCTGCATGTGAAAATGTGTTGCTTGTTAATTCATCGATGACTTATATTTTTCATCTGACAAAGTAATTCCATTTCTGGAACTTCGTCCTGAGGTAATAATCATGGATGTGTGCAGATATTTAACTGCAGGTACCTTCAACACAGCTTTTTCTTTAATACCATAATACTGAAAATAACGTAAATACCCAGCACTGAAGACTGGGAAAATAAATTATGGAAACTCCAAAGGGTGGAAAGACAGACAACCACTAAAAGTAACACTCTAGATGATTAAAAGAGGCTCGGGAGGCACAGCAACCAAATGTGAAGTATAGACTTTGGGTCTTAATTTGAACAGACAAAAAACTATTTGTGAGATAATCATGAAAGTTTGAGCCCTGCCTAGATATTTAATGACATTAAGGAATTTAACCACTGATGATCTGAAGATATTATTGTTAATTATTTTACCTTGGGTAATGGTATTGACCTTGAAGTCCTTATCTTTTACATAATGAAATATTTATGCATGAAATGTTATTTCTGAAATTTTTTTCAAAATAAGGACTATGTATGTAAAAATTCATTGAGCTATACACTTAATATTTGTGCACATTTACCTCAAGAAAAAAGAAAGAAAAAATAATCTGGGAGGAAGAAGTCTGTCGGTGGTCTAGGTGAGGAATTGGCAAACTTTTACTGTAAAGGGCCATATAGTAAATGTTTTAGACTTTGTGGGATCTATGGTCTCTGCTGCAACTACTCAGCTCTGCCATTGCAGGTTGAAAGTAGCCATAGACAATATATAAACTAATGGCACTCATTGGCTGTGTTCCAATAAAATGTCATTTTTGAATGCTGAAATTTGAATTTTATATCATTTCATGTGTCGCAAAATATTAATTTTCTTTTGGTGTTTTCCAACAATTAGAAAATGTGAAAACCATTCTTAGCTCATAGCCATATTTAAAAAGCAGCAGGCCAGATTTGGTCCACTGCCCATAGTTTTCCAACTCCTGGTCTAAATGAAACAAGATTGGCCCCAAGTTGATGATTGATGAGACTGAGTGATGAGCCTAATGGGGATCCACTATACAATTCCCTCTATTTTTATGAATGTTTGAAATTTTCCATAAGAATAAGGTTTTTATTTAAGCATTATCATAGAAATAAACTAAGTAATACTATGGAAATAAAGTTAATGGCATGGAAATATAGCTGCGAAATGAAGAAGAGGCAGATCACAAGAACATGCTCCCAGTTGTTTAATAACAGATAACATGTAGACCATGCGTTTTCCACAGAGGTGATATCATCCCCAAGGGGATGAAAATTGGTTCCTGGAGGAAAAAAATCTTAGATATCACAATGGCTTGTGGTCCTCCAGAACCAACCCTACCTGACAAAATCTTATTCCTTGGTATTTAATTTCTTTCACTGGATTTTCTTGGGTATCACTTGAGCAGCAGTAGCCTTGAGTTCATGGAGAATCAGTGCTACTAAACTACCACAAATAGGCCGGGCATGGTGGCCACCGGGCTTGGTGGCTCACGCCTGTAATCCTAGCACTCTGGGAGGCCTAAGTGAGCAGATGGCTCAAGGTCAGGAGTTCAAAACCAGCCCAAGCAAGAGCGAGACCTCGTCTCTCCTAAAAATAGAAAGAAATTAATTGGCCAACTAAAAATATATAGAAAAAACTAGCCAGGCATGGTGGCACATGCCTGTAGTCCCAGCTACTTAGGAGGCTGAGGCAGCAGGATTGCTTGAGCCCAGGAGTTTGAGGTTGTTGTGAGCTAGGCTGACACCACAGCACTCTCACCCGGGCAACAGAGTGAGACTCCATCTCAAAAAAAAAAAAAAAAAAAAAAAAAAAACTACTATAAATAGATAATAATCAGGTATTGACTCAGTTCTCATCCCAAGCCTCACAGGGTAGGCCCTACTATTATCCATATTTCACAGTGAGGAAACTGAAGCCTAGAGAGATTAAACAACTTATCCAAGATCACACAGCCAGTGATTAGAAAGTGAGGTGGTGGAAGCATGAAAAGCAGAGAATTCCTCCCCAGCTGACTTGGCACCAAGATTTTCAGAGATGCAACTCTGCTTGCTTCTGGATGCACTAAAATCTTAATTCTCCTCAATTACAGAGGACATTGTCTGTTTTTAAACTCGAGAATAACAAAATGTTATGTTTACATTTGTGCCTTATGTTTTAAAATTAACTCAAAATCTTCATATTCAAAACCACAATAAAGAAAAGTGAAGCCCAAAACTGGAAGGAGATATTTGCAAAACACATATCACCGATAAAGTAGTGGTATCAGAATATATAAAAACAATTCCTACAAATCAATAAGGAAAAGGCAGAGAGCCTGACAGAAAAAATGAGCAAAAGATCTGAACAGGCACCTCACAAGAGGCTCTCCAAGTGAGCAATACATTTATGAAAAAGTGCTCAATCTCATTAGTCATCAGGGAAATACAAATCAAAACCACAATGTCTGACTTCTCCATGGGAATGCTGACACCACATGGGCAGGGATTTCATCATGGACCCCACAAAAGCCCAACACTGATCTCACACCTTCCCATTCCTATCCCCAAGGACGCTCATCCCTCATCATCCCTCACCCCACAGATCCCTCTATCATTCACCCCATGGATGAGCATCCCTCACCCTGTAGACCGCCCATTACTCACCCCACAACCGCCATCATTCAGTTGGCAGACCCTCCATCACTCACCCAGACCCCCTTCACCCATTCCACAGAAGCCCCATCACTCACCCCACAAACTCCCCATCACATAGCTCACACACTGTTACTCCTGGTACCAGACTCCCCTATCACTGTTCTCCACTCAGTCCAAAGGACCCCTCCTTGGTCCCTTCATGTGTCCCCATCCATCACTGACCACACACTGGGCCCCTCACCCCAGCTCTGCTCTCAGGACCCAAAACTCCTTCTCCGGGCGGACGTGGCTCCTCGCTGGCCCAAATGGGTTTACGATTCCCCGAAAGGACCTTTCCCTGGCAGCCCTCCTGGGTAGGTCTGGATGACGCGGGAACTTAATCTTTCGCAAGCTCAGAAACAACCGCGAAGCTGAGCTCTACCAGTAACAAAAATGGCGTCGTCCCGTCGCGCCAGGACTTCTGTCGCCGGCCGGGGCCTCACACTGCTTCCTGAGGCTCCCATTCCCATCGAGGAGATGTGTGTTTGGGGGCCGGGGGAGCGCCTGTGATATCTCCGCGACAGGGTATTCGGAATGGGTCCTGTGAAAGCAGTGTGAGGCTTAGAAGTGCCACAACTGTCCTGGGCCGGCGAGTGGGCGTTCCCAGCTACCAGGAGAGGCCCTGCCGGAGCAAAGTCGTGGCGACACAGCGGGGTGGGATCCGGGGAAAGTGGTAAAGCCGGATGGTGGGTGAACCGCATGAGAGATTCCTCTGCGGAAGCCTCGTTTCTAAAACGTCTGGAGAAAATGAAGAGGCCTTTGACACATAGGGGGCTCATACACACACTCAGCTTGCCTCTCACAACCTGTCATCAGCGACCTCCCACCCTCATACTGATCCTTCAAGGCGTCAAGGCCCGCCCCCGCCTGTCACTCACTACCCACCTGATCTTCCATTGGCTCCTTTGGACACAAAGGGGCCCGTCTTCACCTGTCACTCACAGCCTGGACTTTCTGCCTGCCTTCACGTGAACAGATGTGGCCTTTTACAGCCCATATCAAAACAAAGAGTTGGCTGGCGCGGTGGCTTATCCTGGTAATGCTAGCACTTAGGGAAGCCAAGGTGGGAGAATAGCTGGAGGCCAGCCTGGGCAACATAGCTAGACCCCGTCTTTAAAAACAAAAGTCCTGAAAAAGTTAATAGAAGTTTGAGGTAAAACCCAGGGGCATTGATTTTAGAAAACTTAACAAGGGGCTGGATTGGAAGTCAGCCCGGGATATTAGCATAGTTAACAAAGGCTCAGGTCCTATTAATATATCCACAAAACAGGAGCTCTGATGGTACAGTAGTTGAGAAAGTCCTAGGATTCAAAACCTCTACCAGGGTGTGTGGATGGAGAAAACATTAACAAAAATGCCACTTGAAGGTCAAACCAGAGGGCCACTGATGGTGAAATAATTACCCGATTCCAAAGTCATTTCAGAAAGGCTTCATTCAGAATGCTAACTTAGGCCCAAAACTGAGCTACAGACCAGAGAAGCATTAATGGTGGTGTAGTTAAGAAAGGCCCACAATTCACCAAAAGGGCAATAACTCTGAAAGAGTTAACCAAGGCCTGACGTCAAGGTCAAACCAAATAAGCATTTGTAATAAAAGTGTTAACTGAGGGCTAGGGCTGACACACACAGGAGAAAGCTTAGCACAGGTTTGACTTTCTGCACACACCAAAGGAGCATAGATGGGGAGGATATAACTGAGGCCTGCAGTCAATGTGCAGACCTGAGGGGCAACAATGGGGAAAGAGTTAACAGACATGAAAAAAAGTTTCACACATAAATTCCCCTGACAGTGGAAAAGTGAACAGACACAGCGTTGTGTTTAATACACAGACCCCAAGGGATTTTTTAATTTTCTACTCTCAAAACCCTGAATTCTGTCTCTGGATCAGAACCCATTAATGGTAGCATAAATAACAGATGCCTGAGTTCAAGATAAAATCAGAGGTTGATTTACATTGGAAAAGTTATTAGTAGCCCAGGTTGGACAGCACAGATAAGGAATTTTGATGGTGAAATCATTATCAATGGCTGGGGTCCGAGATCAGGTAAGAAGGATATGGGTGGTGGAACAATTAACAATAAAATAGTTTGAGTATAGACCAGATGGACATCAATGGTGGAATATTTCAAAGATTCCTATATTCATTTCCTATTGCTGCTCTAACAAATTACCACAAATTTACTAGCTCAAAATAATACAGTTATTATCTTACAGTCCTGGAGGTCAGAAGTCCAAAACGGGTTTCAGTGGGCCAAAATCGAGGTGTTGGCAGGGCTGTACCCTCTTCCGAGGCTCCAGGGGAAAGTCCATTTCTTTGCTTTTTCTGGCTTCTAGAGACCACCTGTATTCCTTGGCTTATGGTCCCTTCCTCCATTTTCAAAGCCAGCAGGGTAGCATCTTCAAATCTCTCTCTGACTGCAACCTTCTGCTTCCATCATCACATCTCCTTCTCTGACTCTGACTCTTCTCCCTCCCTCTTATAATAGCCTGTTCCTTAGTGAACAAAGGCTGAGGGAGCTGAGAGGCTGAAGAAAGAGGCTGACAAATGCAGTTTCTCAGAAAGAAACATTTAATAGGGACTTAGGGGCCGGGCGCAGTGGCTCACGCCTGTAATCCTAGCACTCTGGGAGGTCGAGGCAGGCAGATTGCTCGAGGTCAGGAGTTCGAAACTAGCCTGAGCAAGAGCGAGACCCCATCTCTACTATAAATAGAAAGAAATTAATTGGCCAACTAATATATAGAGAAAAAATTAGCCGGGCATGGTGGCACATGCCTGTAGTCCCAGCTACTTGGGAGGCTGAGGCAGCAGGATTGCTTGAGCCCAGGATTTGAGGTTGCTGTGAGCCAGGCTGACGCCATGGCACTCACTCTAGCCTGGGCAACAAAGCGAGACTCTGTCTCAAAAACAAAAACAAAAAAAATAGGGACTTAGGAAGAGAAGCCATGTCTCAGGAGGCTGCAAGATGGTGGACCCTCTCATCCGCCCTCCAGAAGGTATCCTTTATATAGCAAGCTTTTTTGGTAAAACGTGTAGCTGGTCATGTTTTACACCCTCTTGCAAAACTCATGACCACTGGGGAAGTTAGGTAAGCATCTTTATGGGGGCTTATCTATGCTTCAGGCATTGTTTCTTTACCTTGCTGTGTGAATGCTTTGGTATGTAGGAGCTAAACATCAGTCATTATGGTGGTTTCATTTCAAGATGGCATTACTCAGCAAACATATTTAAAAATGCGCAACATCGCTAATCATTAGAGAATTGCAAATCAAAACCACAATGCAATCTCACTGGGGTTAGATGCAAATCATCTAACCCCAGTGAGATTGGCCTGTATCAAGAAATCCCAAAACAACAAATGGTGATGAGGATATGGACAGACAGGGACACTCTTACACTGCTTGTGGGACTGCAAATTAGTGCAACCTTTGTGGAAAAGAATTTGGAAATATCTCAAAGAGCTAAATATAGAAATACCGTTCTATCCAGCAATAGCATTATTAGGCATCTACCCAAAAGAGCGTAAGACATTCTATTATAAAGACATCTGCACTTGAATGTTTATGGCAGCACGATTCACTATTGCAAGGACATGGAAACAACCCAAGTGTCTGTCAATTCATGAGTGGATTATTAAAATTTGGTATATGTTCACAATGGAATATTATTCAATTCTAAGAAACGACAGTAAGTTAGCACTGCTTAAACTGTCCTGGACTGAGCTTAAGCTCATTATCCAAAGTGAGATAACTAAAGATCAGAATGATGGACTCCACATGTACTCGCCATCAAATTGGTACTGACTGATTAACACTATGGTGCTCAAAGGGTGGTGGTGTTCATCAGGGATTCGGGGGTGGGGGGTAGTCCCACATCTGAGGGATGTGGTAATCATTGTGGAGGGGAAGGGCATACCTCTAACCCTTGCTAGGGAGAGGCAAAGATATAAAATGTAACCAAAATGTTAAGAAAAAAAGAAAAACAAACATTTGTCGGGTGTCTGCCCGGTGGGAGGGAGGAGGAAGGGATGGGTATATACATACATAGTGAGTGTGATGCACACTGTCTGGAGGATGGACATGCTTGAAGCTCTGACTTGAGGGGGGAGGGGAGACAAGGGCAATGTATGTAACCTTAACGTTTGTACCCCCATAATATGCTGAAATAAAAAGCAAACAAACAAACAAAAGATGGCATTACTCTTGCCATGCCAGCAGGCTGTTTTCCTACACGACCCTTGATTACATTGGGCCCATCTGGATAATCCAGAAAAATCTTCCTTTCTCAAGACTCTTAATCACATCTGCAAAATCCCTTTTGCCATGTAAGGTAATGTATTCACAGGTTCTAGGGGTTGGGACATGGACATCTTTGTAGGAGGCATTATTTTGTCTACCACAGTTGTGAGGTCAAACCTCAATGGTGGTGGAAATTTTGATTGAAGCACAGGGTATTAACAGGAGAAAACTACTGATGGTAGACCAGATTTTAATTCAAACCAAATGGGCATTGATGGGACCTTGGAGACAGTCCTTTGCAATATGTGTTCATGTGTCAGATCTTGTGCTGTCCCCAAGCTAGGCTCCAGACAGGTAAGCACAGTGCCTTTGGAAAGCCCCAGGGTACTGTGGCTGGGGTTCACATTGGCCAAATCATCATGGCACCCCAAACTGCAAACAAGGAGCGTGTGATTGAGGCCCTACACAGGGACAAGTTCAAGTTCCCTGGCCACCAGAAGATCCACATCTCAAAAAAGCAGGGCTTTACTAAGTTTAATGCAGATGAATTTAAAGACATGGTAGCTGAGAAGCGACTCATTCCAGATGGCTGTGGCGTCGAATACATCCTCAGTCATGACCCCCTGGATAAGTGGTGGGCACTGCACTCATAAGGGCTTCCACTGTGCTGCCCTCTAGTTATTCACACCCACCAATAAATCCTACTTCCTGTCCACCTGGGGGGAAAAAAGCAGTTCAGGTTGGGGTTTCATGCCAGAAATAAGTTGGTGATGAAATAGTTAACAGAGACCTAAGTTAGATTCCCCAACAAGTAGGGCATTAGTGGCAGAAGCATTAAAAGAAGCCTATGTAGAGACAAAAAATGAACAGAGAACCAGGTTCAAGTTCAGACCTGAGTGTCAGTGAGGGTAGAAGAGTTAACATAGGATCAGGATCAAGGCTCAAATCTAAAGCACCCAGATGATAGAAATATGACCCAAAGTCCAGATTCAATGTGGAGAAGAGAGGACACATAATCTTCTGTGTGATCCTAATTAAAAACACATCATGTCTAGACTTCATTTGTGTTATACAGTAGCTGCTATGGACTGAATTGTGTCCCCTCCAAAATTTATATGTTGAAGCCCTAATACCATATGTGACTGTATGGGAGATAGGACCTTTAAGGAGATGATTAAGGTTAAATTAGTTTATAAGGGTGGAGACCTGATCCTATAGAATTGGTTTCCTTATAAAGAGGAGGAGATACCAGAGATTCTCTCTCTGCCATGTGAGAACACAGCAAGAAAGTGGCAATCAGCAAGCCAGGAACAGAAACTTCACCAGAAACCAAACTCTGCTGGCGCCTTGATCTTTGACTTTCCAGTCTC